AAATTTCTGGGCCTTTTAAATAAGAATACCTGTCAGGACCCATTTATGATCTCCTCCTAACCAAGTAAATCTGCACCTATCTCTAAACAAAGTCACATTCTGAGGAGAGAGACAGCCCATGACAGTGTTTTACTAAATGTGTAGACGGATAGGTACGTACATACATCATACTATGTGAGGACTGGTGCACCTCCTTGCTGTAGTAGCAGTCATGGTGTCCTGTTCACCGTGTAGCTGAGGCCAAGTTGGCTGCCCAGAGGAAACTTGCTTGGATAAAGGAGGAGATAATTATAACAGAAAAGGGGCCTGAGGCTAAGCCCTTCTGGGTTAATCTCTGATTTGGAAAGGAAAGAGGTTAAAAAGGATGAAGTTGAAGTGTTGGCTTGCTACTTCACATGGCTCTGGGGACTAAAGGTAAGGAGAGTGCAGCCCAGGTTTGTGTTAAAGAGCTCTCCTGGGATCCAGAACCTTGGAACTCAGGGGAAGAGTTGGATAGTAGAGAGTTAAAACTCAGGTGAAAGTGAGAGGTGGTGGATGAGACCCAGTTCCCCAGGCAAGATGGGGCTGCTTTCACCAAGGTCCAGTCAGCAGGGAGTTGGGATTGGGACAGAGCTCTGGTGGCTCTCATGAGCCACCCGTGCCTGCTGCTGTGGGAGGAGCTCTTGTGAGGCGACAGCCACCTTCCTACAAGGTGACAGAGCACCGGTGGGTGAGGCCTGCCCGTAAGCTCTGGGGTGAAGTGTAGATGTATCGGTCTCCTGTTTATGTGGTGGTTTATTTCTGGGCCTTAGATTTGATTCAGTTGATCTCTGTTTGCCTTAATGTCAGCATGCACTGTTTTGATCAATGCATCTCTTGAAATCGAGAAATATCCTCTATCTTTGCCCCTCCTCTTCAAGAACATTATTGCTTTATAGAGAACCATTGCTTTTTTATAGGAATTAAACATTTTTAGGTTTATTTATTTTATGTATAGGAGTGTTTTGCCTGCATGTGTGTATGTGCATGCCTGGTGGAGGTCAAAAGAGAGTGTCAGATCCCCTAGAACTTGAGTTATGGGTGGTTATGAACCACCATGTGGGTGCTGGGAACTGAGAGAGCAACAAATGCTTTTAACTACTGAGCCGTTTCTCCAACTTCCATGCTTCTTGTAATGTGAATTTTAAGATGAGTGTGACACTCTCTTGATAGGTAATGAATTGAAAACAGAGCTCCCTTGGGGAAGTACGTCCTCTGGTTCCTTGCGCATGCGTCACATGAGCTGAAATTGAAACGGGCCGTGAGCAAAGGCGACTCACATCCACGAAGCTTCGCTTAGTTCTAAAATGAAGGCTACGGAGCACTGCTTTATGGGTGTGGGTGCAGCTCAGTGGGAGGGTATCTATTTAGTGTATCTGAAGCCTGGGTTCAGTCTCAAGCATTAGTTATAAACCTCCAAGTCTTCCCACTTATTTAGGCCATCTGTAATTTCTTCAGTATTTTGTAGTTTTCGGAGTATAAGTTTTGTAATTTGTTAAATCTATCTTTTAAAATGTTAATTTTCCTTTTGAGTACTATTGCAAATGGAAAAATTTTAATTTACTTTTGTTCTTTGTTACCATGTAGGAATGCAAATTATTTTGATACTTATTTTTTATCCTGCAAGATTACTGAGTTAATTTATTTATTTATTTATTTATTTATTTATTTATTTATTTTTTGGTTTTTCGAGACAGGGTTTCTCTGTGTAACTTTGCGCCTCTCCTGGAACTCACTTGGTAGCCCAGGCTGGCCTCGAACTCACAGAGATCCGCCTGGCTCTGCCTCCCGAGTGCTGGGATTAAAGGCGTGTGCCACCACCGCCCAAGTTAATTTATTAATTCAAATAGGAATTTGGGGTATTCTTTAAGATTTTCTATATGTAACAGCATCTGTAAATATATGTAATCTTACTTCTTCCCTTGTCTGAGGAGCTTTGATTTCATTTCCTACCTTATTGTCCTGTTTAGACTCTCCAGGACAATCGTAAGTAGAACAAATAAAAAGGGACATAATTGTCATGTTCCTGATCTTTGAGGGAAAACAGCCTTTCACTATTAACTAATGAGTCAATTAATTTCACCATTTACATATGATATCAGCTACATATTTTTGTAGCTACCATGCATAAGGTTGAAGAAATTCCTTGTATTTTAAATTTATTGTGTGTTTTATTACCAGGGATGTTATATTTTTTGCAATGTTTTTCATCTGTTGGAATTTTTTTGTCCTTTATTAGTATGATTACAATGATTGATTTTGATATAGTAAACCATCCTTGCATTTTTGAATTTAGTCACAGTTGGTCAGGGTATGTTTACTCTTGAACAGACACTGGATCTGATTGCCAGTGTCTTATTGAAGGATTTTGGATTCATTTTCACAAGAAATACTGCCTCAGAGTTTCTTTCTCATAAAGTTCATCTGACTTTAGTCTTAAGGTAACACTGGTCTTACCCTAGGGAAGTATTCTCTTCTGTTTCTTCACCAAGTGTTTGGGGAAGATCTGTATTAATTATGTTTTGAGTGCTTGAGAATTAGCTAGTGAATCAGCATTGGACGTATCATTGGAGGTGGTTGTTGCTCGAAATTTCAAACCAGCCAAGTCAATTTTCTCACCATAGGCTTCAGGTTATCAATTTGCAGAGAGCTTTGTGAGATTGGTTGCCTCTTGGTACTTGTTTTTAGATAGCTTGTTGACATACGGTTCATAATCTTTCCTTAGTATTCCTTTCAGTTCTTTCCAGTCAACAGTATCCTCTTTATTCCTGACTTTTAGTAGCAGGAATTTTCTTTGTCATTGTTTGTTTGTTTTATTTTTGACAAAGACTCCCGTGTAGCCCAGCTGCCTTCAACTGCTCCCTCAGCTTCTGAGTTCTGGGATTACAGACTCACGCCTGGTGCTTATATCTTTTCCATAGATTAGTTGATATAAAGGTTGCCAATTTCCTTGATCTTTTCAAAGAATAAACTTTTGGTTTTGATAATTTTTCCCTTTAAAAAAAAGTCTCAGTTGTCCTTAAAGATAATAGAGGCAAGCAAACTTCTTCCTTATGTTCTTTGAACATGGTGCCATATTATGTTCTGACTTGAATCATTTCCAGTAAGAATAATCTATGACTCTTGTCCTTTTCCCTTTCTCTTTGGTGTTCTGTGTGAAGTGTGAGGGTCCCCCTTCCCCTGTGTGTACTCACTATTTATCCTGGATTGTGATTGGCTGGTCCCCCTTCCCCTGTGTGTACTCACTAGTCATCCTGGATTGTGATTGGCTGGTCTCCCTTCCCACCTGTGTGTACTCACTGATTATCCTGGATTGTGATTGCCTTTCTTTCAGGAATTTTGGAAAATCCTCAACTACTTCATTTGATTCCTTTATGTGAAATTTCTGTCTGTGGAAATTCTCCATTTGTTCATGAATGTTTCATGAATGCTCTACACCATATTGTTTAACATATTAATTATTTTTGTATTTGTATTTGTGTTTTGCCTGTGTGTATGTCTGTGTGCCACATTCATGTCTGGTGGCCACAGAGGCCAGAACTGGAGTTACAGGCAGTTGTGAGCCACTGTGAGGGTGCTAAAGACTTAATCTGGTGTTTTTAACTGCTGAACCATCTTTCCAGCTCCTAATCATAACTTATTTTAAAGTTCTCTGACACTTCTAACATCTGGGCCATTTCTGGTTCTGGTTCTGTTGCTTGCTTTAGTTCTTAACAGAGAGTCTTTGATAATGCTCCTCATTTTGTCCTTTCGAGTATTTCCCCAGCAGCGTTCCTTCTGGATGGGTACTGTGGTAGGGCTTGGAAGCCGATGTGGTCAGTTGTTGGTCTAGCTATTAGTTTGGGGATTTGTTTTTGCTGGTTAATTTCACTAAATGACAGTTAAGGTTTTCTGGTGGTTTCTCCTGTCCTGTGTTTAGTGTAAAATTTAGAGTATTAAAGTACTAGAGGGTTCTTAATGATACTGGAACTTTGCTCAGCTTGCAGCAAGTGTCCTTCACCACAGCCAGATCTCTCTGGTCTTGGTAGATCCCTGTTGCCATGTCACAGGCTTGGTGAAGACATGGTGGTGAGTTCTGCCGCGGCTGTAGACTCAGGCAGTCCTGCTACCCTGAATGTCAGAGTTCGTTCCTTTGTTTCTCTCTCTCTCTCTCTCTCTCTCTCTCTCTCTCTCTCTCTCTCTCTCTCTCTCTCTATTGCTTTTTAAATAAAGAATGGAGGTTTGCTAAACTCGTGGTTCTGGAGGTTGTGAAGTCCAATATGAAAGTTCTGACATCTGGTGGCAGGACCTTCTTGTTGTATCATAGTGTGGAGAGGCATCACCAGTGTCGTAGGAAGAGTGTTCTTCACGTTCCTGCATCTCCTCCTCCTGTCCTGTCTTCTTCCACACCCAGGAGTCAAGAGCTGGGAGCAGGACAGTTGATGACAGACTTGGGGCTGAGGAGATGACTCTGAGGTTAACAGTACTTGCTCTTGCAGGGGACCTGGGTTCAGTTATCAGCATCTCTGCAGCAGCTCAGAGCTGTCTATAACTCCAGATCTAGGCATCCGACACTCTCTTCTGGCCTTTGGGCGTCAGGCACACATGTGGTACACATACATACATACATGCAGGCAGGCAGGCACTCATACACATAAAACAAATAAATCTTTTTTATTTATGAACATAATAATGATAGCAGACTTCTTTGCCTCTGGATAAGAGCCTCTCCCCCAGGGCAGTGCTTTTTCTACCCTTCTTATCTTAACAGCAGTTGACCTTCATTTGTGACCAGTGAGCAACTTCTGTCCTGCTGCAGCACATGGCTGTTTTTGTTTTGTTTTTAACCATGCTTAGCAGCACTAGGCTTTTAGTTAACAGGGTCGTTCTGTGTGTCATATTTCAATGCTAGAAGGTAGTTCCAGGTGAACCTTAGTTTTTAGGGAGAGTGCATTACTGTTTGTTTTGTATTATAATGTACCATTATATTTGTTCTTTTTCAGCCTAGGCTTGATCTCCGACTCTTTCCACATGTTTTTTGACAGTACTGCTATATTGGCCGGATTGGCAGCTTCTGTTATATCAAAGTGGAGAGATAATGATGCTTTCTCTTATGGGTAAGACTTCAAAATCTTTTCTCGAACTACAAGATACACAGAAAAATGTACAGCTCATAAGGCCATGAGCTTTTACAAGTTGAATTTACTTGTGTGGTTTGAGCACTTGAACCCCTCAGGCCTTTTAGTCCTTCTTCTTCACCTCCCTCAGGGTGACCCTTTTACTTCCTGGATTAGACGTGTCTGCTTTAAAAGTATATGGAGGAAGGAAAGAGACGGGGAAGTGATGTAATTATATTCCAATCTCAAAATAATATAAGTTTTTAAAAGTATATGGTCTGAATCTATAATGTAACTTTATTCGTATACAGAATCCTTTGTTTGGTAGATAAGCCCTTAGTTTTACCAAAAGAATTTAGGAGATATATTGTTGCTATATAAGTATTTTCTCAGCCTGCTTTTTGACAAAAAAAAAAAACCAAACATGTGAAACTGATCATATTTCTTTTCTTTCTTTCTTCCTTTCTTTTTTTTTAATTGAAGAGATACTTTGCTGTCATTTATTTAAAATTACTTCGTAACATGGTCTTATTCATCTTTTTAGCTTTGCTCTTATGCATGGTGATTTCTGTCTCCCCCTGATTTGTACACACAGCCACATACTGTGCACAGACCTTTGATGAACCAGATTAGAGGCAGAATTGGCTTCCTGCCCCTACTGACTGGGGAAGCCATGGAGTTTTCATTATTTGATTCAAGCTTATGATGTTTCCTGTTTTGAGCTCATAGACCATTTTCTAGTAGAATTCTGTTCATGTGTGAGCAGAGATGAGGACTAACACCCTTTTCCACCTCTCTTGCGCATGCTAACTCATTCCTCGTTTACCCCTGCTTTATCTTGTGCTTCCTCACACCTGCTCTTCAGCTGCACTTCCTCTTTCCTCTTGCTCATCTCCTGACTCCCCTGTCCTCCCCCGCCCTGTCTCTTGCTCACTTTTGCTTACATCCTCATAGCCTCATGCCTGTCTTCCCTGGACTCTCCCTGTTTCCCTGCCCTCTCCCCACCCCCTCTCGGCCTCTTTCCTCCACACCTTCTCATCTGTACTTGCTCTTGACCCTCCTCTTGCCTTGGCTAATTGGCACATGAGATGTGCGCAGGCAGTTCTGCTTTCACAAATGACATGTTGGAACTCTAAGACTCACTCTGTTCAGGTGAACATAATCATCTGTGATCATTTGTCTAGTTTTCCTTCTTTTCTTCATTTTAAACCAGGGCCAGTAATATACCAAACTAATCCAGCAGTTTATCAGAATGCATGAAACATATCTACTGAGCTAGAAATTAGGAACCAAAAGATGCTTAAAAAAATGTCTTGCCCTTGATCTTGAAATTCAGTGAGCTAAGATAAAGTCTTTCTGTCCAGCATTAACTATGGGACTAGAGGGGGAGATTAAAAGAAAATGACGTTTGTTTTGGATAGTAGTCCTGCTGATTTAGTAATTAAGTCCCTTTTAAGTGTGAGTTATAGAAAACTGGCTGTGTGTTACTTGAATTTAGTAAACTTTTCTCCAAAATGTACATGCTTAGACAAGTGATACATGAATTTAATTTACATATATATTTGAAATATATATATATGAAAATGGAGTGTAAAATTCATATTATGTTAGACCTACTTGATAGGATGAATTCAAACATCACTGAATAGAGGACCTGTAAAGAGTTTGTTCAGCTTGGTGTGGTCACACATGACTGTACCCCCTGAACTTGGAAATAATTTCAAGCCCTCAGAAGCTCCATAGTGAGTTTCAGGGCATCCTGAGAGGGCCTCTACGTAACCAGAAAATAAAATTTTCTATTTATTTAAGAAATGTTTTTATAACAAAAATTATGTTTAGAAGTTGATGTAAAAAGCTAGCAAAAGCATTTTTTCTTAAAGACAGACTCCTTATATCGTCTGAGTTGGCCTAGGACTATAATCCTCCTGGTCCAGCCTGTGTGTTGGGTTTGCAGGTTCATGCCACCACCTAGTGTCTGAAGGAACAGTTCTGATGCTTTGCGATGTTGATGAAGGACAAGGTGCCGTGGACACACTTTGAGTTACAGTATTTCCATGGCTTTAGGTCAAACATGCCTTGTAGAAAGGTGAGCTCTTTCCCCAGTTCTTCACCTAAGTAGGAAGCAGAAGACTTTGGAAGCCCAGAGACAAGGTATGGGCATTGAAAAGTGGTTTCATAGAATGATGTGAAGATAGAGTTAATTCTAAAAATAAATAGCTAAAAGTTTAGGCTGAATATATTAGTTTAGAAAAAGATAACAAACATAAATCTCAAGTTGTCTCTGACATAACGCAGGGATACTTTAACTTTACATGAGATCAGAGCTCCATTTTATGAAGATTTCATGCCATAAGGTACAAAGCAGAATAGGGAAGGAAAGGAAAAATAACTACAGTAAAAACTCATTTCCTAGACATTTTCTCTTCCTTTGTTTGGACCCTCCTTCTATGTCTACTTGCTTGGTGTTACCCTTTCGACAGTGGCAGCTTCAGATTCCCATTTCTGTAGCTTTCTCAGCCCACTTACTATCAGGAGGTCTTTTGCCTCTGTAAGTGTGTGTTTTATGGCATTCGCTATTAAATGTAATTCATAGCAATTAATTTCCTCATCCGTTTTACAGTATTATATGAAATGTATCCTGTAAATATGAAGACTTTACTGGCACTTAAAAATCATTTAATATGATTTACAGTCTCTGAAACATGTACATTCCTTTAGAGTTTAAGAAGTATAATTCTCTGTTTGCCTTGTTCTTCCTTAGGTATGTTAGAGCGGAAGTTCTGGCTGGCTTTGTCAATGGGCTGTTTCTGATCTTCACTGCTTTCTTTATTTTCTCAGAAGGAGTTGAGGTATAGTAGATAATCATTAGAGTCAGGAAATGATGGTTTTTAATGAAAATGTTTTAAAGATGTAATAGAGATATTTTCAACTATCATTTACTGAGGTTTGTCTTGGATTAGAGAAAATATTATGCATGTAAGAGAGGATTTATGAAATAGTAGAAAAAGTTACATATGTGTGAAGTATCTTGATGGAAAACAGTAAAATGCATGAAGTGTTGCCACGGAGAAGTAGAGGTGCAGTCTGGGTAATGAAGTCCTTTAGCAATTGTCTTAAAATATCTAGAATCTGTGAGTTTTGCTGGTGAGCATTTAATACTTGGTGTACATTTTCTAAGAGTAGAAGGAAAATGTGAAGATTAGTAAACTTACAGAGAGCAGGAGGAACAGGTTTGGAACCAAATGTCATTGCACATACTTACATTTATTTAGAAACAGAAATTGTTACTTTGTCTGCGATATGTGAATACTAGCTTCAGCTGTCTCAACTTTGGGCAGGTAGTTTTGAACACTTTTCCTTCAGAAAATGACTAAAAATGTTCACATTGCATTCTGTTGCCACCAGTTGCAATCAGGAGTTCTATCAACGCCGTCTCTTTGTATTGTGTGTTTTCTAGAGAGCACTGGCTCCTCCAGATGTGCACCATGAGAGGCTGCTGCTTGTCTCAATCCTCGGATTTGTGGTAAACCTAGTAGGAATATTTGTGTTCAATCATGGAGGTCATGGACATTCTCATGGCTCTGGTATGATGGTTAGAACTATTTGTTTCTTCATTTTTTTGACATTGATTTGGGGTGTGTGCGTGTGCGCGTGTGTGTGCATGTGTGTGTGTGCTTTGTGTGTGTGTGCACGTGTGTGTGTGCACGTGTGCGTGTGTGAGTGTGTGTGTGTATGTGTCGGTCAGAGAACAACTTGGGAGATTGGGTTCTCTCTGTCCACCGAGTTCTGGGGCTTGAGTTCAGTCTTCAGACTAGGGGGAGATATCCTTGCAAGTCCCCCCGCCTTTTTTTCTTTTTCTTTTTTGCATGCTTCTGTTGTTAAATACTTTAGAAAATTAGTAATTTTAAAGTTACGAAAGTATCATATCTAGATACTTAATAAATATCTTCCTAGACCTTCCCTTGTACTTCTCCATAGCCCTCCGTCCCAGTGCCTTTCAGAGTTGTTAGGCACGTTATCGTATCGGTATGGATCTCTCCAGACTTCTGGAGCTCATCTGCTTTATGTAATATTTACTCATATTAAAAAACAGGTATCCAAAAACCACAAGTCTAGTTACTAAAGTAAATTGTGTGTGTACCTCTAATTTACCGTATAATGCATTTTAAAGATTCTTCCATTGGTAGAAAAAAACTACCTTGCATTTTTTTTATTAATTTATGAAATCACTTTATTGTAATGAACTCACAGAAAACTCCATGGTATGAAGCCAGGCCCAGTGGTGCTTGCCTGCTACAATCCCAGCACTTGAGAGACAGAGGCAGGAGGATTAATGCTAGCTTCAGGCTTACCTGTTCTGCGTAGTGAATTCCAGGCTATCTAGGGTACATAGTGAGAGACCCTGTCTCAACCACAAAGCAAAATAAAAGCCAAAAAAGAAAAAGAAAAAAAATCAACCAAAAAACGTACCCCCAAACAAAAACACCACAAAACCCAGAGGGAACAAGAAAGCTTATCAAGCTGCCATGTTGCACAGTTCAGATCTAGAACGTTTCCGTCACTTCAGAGAGCTCTTTTAACTCAGTGTGTTAATGTATACGTAGAATTCATAAAACATAGTATATGTACGTTTTTACTAGATACACTTCTTTTCACATTGCCTTTCACAATGACTGTTATTCACATTCACTTCCAGAAATAAATGTATTCATTTTCTCCCCAGCCCACATCAACCTTTAACATTACAGATTAAAGTGGTTTTACTCACCTTTGATAAAGGCAACTTCTAATTGTTTCTTGTCTCTCGCTAGTAGTGAAGTTGAACATTCTGCTGGTGTGTTCCTAGAGTATAATTGCTTCTCTATTGTTTTTTTTTCCACTTGTTTATAAGTTACAGTATTACTTAAAGTATTGCTGCTTTCCTTTGTTTTATGTGTTGTAAATACCTTTTCCCAGTTGATGCTTGTATTTACATTTTCATATAGAGATTAATTTGTATGCAGTCTATGATGGCTGGTGTTAATTGTCACCTACACAACCTGTAGTCTTCTGGGAAGACAGTCTCACTGAAGGGTTGTGTACATTAGGTTGGCCTGTGGGCATGCCTGGCGAGGGACTGTCTCACTGTAGTTGTTAACTGATGTGGCAGCACCATTCCCGAGGCATGGGTCCTGAAATTGAGCTTAGCAGCAGGCAAGTGAGCTTGATTGTGAACGTCATATGAGTAGCTGTTTGAAGTTACGTCTTGACTGAAACCTAGAAGTGCAAACTGAAATAAACCCTTTTCTCTCCATAATTGCTTTTACTTTTTTCAGGGTATTTTGTCACAGCACCAGAAATGAAAGTACAACATAGTCTGATTTTTGTTTTACATTTTTTTATGTGTAGTTCCTTCTCTGTTTCAAGAATTTCCTACCCAGGGCATGAACACCAAATCCTCTATATTAATGCTTTCATTTTGGTTTGATGGTTTCTTGTTACCCAGTTGTTTTTCCATCTATTTATACTTTGTTCTTTGAGATATTTCCCACTTAGGAAGAGTAAGCATTTTTCCAGTCATTTTCCTAAGAAAGCTTTCAGGGATTGTCCTAGGGACAGCAGCATCTAGTTGAGATGCTTAGTAGGTTAAACCAGTAATACACAAAGCCTCTGTCCCCGGGTACTCTTGTTCTCTTCTTCCTCTTTATTATTGAACTGCATGGGTGGAACCCATCAGTATAGTTTCACACTGATTTGTGCACTCTCTCTTCAGACAGAGTTGCAAACACAACTCTGTGCCTTTGTACTTACCTTTGTACTTTATTTTTCTTTGGGTGGGTTTGAACTTCTCTTTAATGTCCTTTGATTTAACCTGAAAGCCCTTTAATATTTTGAGGGGACAGGCTTTTGTTTATCTGGATTGCCTTAATTTCTCCTTTATTTTTAAGGAAGTCTGTAGATTATAGAATTTTTTTAGTTCTGCACCCCACCACTACCATTTCGATATCCATCTGCTGCCTTTTGGCCACTAGGATTTCTTTCTTTTGTTTCACTTTTAGTATGTGCGTGCGTGCGTGCGTGCGTGCGTGCATACACCATGGCACATATATTGACAAAGTGGGTATTTGGCATGTGGAGGAGCAGCCAGCATTCTGTTTGCTTGCTGACTTGGTTGTTCCGTCCTTTCTTCTTCCACCTTTTGTTCCAGAAACATCCCCCGTGGAGCAGATTGTAGGCAAGAGATCAGGCCACATGTGTGTATACATGCTCGTGTGTATTGTGGGAGTTCAGCTAAGCTCCTGAGTCAGCTTGAGATCACATCTAGATTTGCAGGTCTCCTGGAGATCCTGCAGGATTTGCATTTTCTGGCCTTCAGAGTTTATTCTTGTGCTCCATAGTAGAACTCAGGACTGCTTGAGTACATTGGCAGTAGTTATTAGAAGCAAGTGTTTCCTGACTTGAATCTGGAGACAGGATTCTTCTAACTAGTATTATTGCAATCAGTTGTACATTCTTACACATCTTCTGTTCAAATATTGTTTGTTTTCTAGGCCATGGACACAGTCATTCCCTCTTTAATGGTGCTCTAGATCACAGCCATGGCCACGAAGATCATTGCCATAGTCATGAAGCCAAACATGGAGCTGCACACAGCCATGATCACGCGCATGGACATGGGCATGCTCATGGACACGGGCACTTCCATTCTCACGGTGAGTGCAGCCAGAGCACCTGCAGAGGGCTAGCCTTCCAAACAAACAAGATGTGTGAGGTGTCTTTTCCTGGCTGGAATGGCCTGTTGGAAGGACACGTGGCCTCTCATGAGTCTGTTTAAATGGTTTCCAGCGTTAGTTTCTGTTTGTTGTACTGTAACATGAAAGAAAGGCGGTGGATTTAATTGTTTCCTTTATTTTTCAGTGACTATAATAATAAAATACTAGTCTTTTGATGTGTGAGTGGGAAACAGTTGATGTTTAGCAAATGAAAACTATGATTGTTTTAAGTCTGACAAGACCTTTAGTATATAATGTTATGAAAATACTAGAGATTTTTCAATTTTTATTATAACTGTTTATGCTGTCTAATGTTCCATGTTCCTTTAGAAATCTTTGTTATAACATTAGATACTAAGGTATAATGTATTTATCAACGTATTTTATTTCAGATCATTTATTCACGAGTTGTGAGTATGGATTAATAGGAACTGCTTAGGTAACACAATCTGCCTACGTCTTAAATAAAGTACGCACTTAGATGTTTGCCAGCACTGGCCATATGGACAGAATACTAAAGCTTTAGATATGGAAAAAGTGAGAAGAGCCTTGAAGATTGAACATTCCAAGGCCCAATTTTTCAGTCTTCCAATTTTTAAAATACCTTATTGAAATATGATTGGCAAACAAAATGCTGTGCACATTCAATGCTTATGCCTTGATCTCAGGGACTAGTTTACCTTTGTGGAACCAGTACCTCAGTTTAAGCTATAGACATCACTAGCAAGCACTTCCTTCTACCTCTTATTATTTATTTATTCATTGTTTACACATTATTTAGATGAGAACGCAGCATAAGCTCTTCCCTCCTGACAGTTGGAAGTGTGCAGTCCAGTGTTGGCTATAACTACTCCGGTGTTGTACAGCTCTCTGGACCTTCTGCAGAGATAGCATAGCTTAGCCTTGTGCCCTTCGACAGTTCCTTCTCCGTCTCATAACCTCTTCTCTGTTTCTCTGAGTTTGCCTCCTTCAGCTTCCCGTAGAAATGGCAGCTGCTGTGTATCATTGTGTTTTACTCACGTCACCTGTCTTCTGATTTGGTCCCTGATGTCCTGAATTGCTGCTTTCTCTTTAGAAGAAGGGTGCCCTGTTCCTGCACTGGGCACATTGAGGTTGCTCCCTGTCTTGAGTGTGGCGTGGCGTGGTGCAGTGAATGGACGTACACCTGGATCTTGGGCTCTGGGATCCGGCTCCTCTGCTTGTGTGCTCATGTTGTAACCACACACTAGTTTTCGTAGCGGTTACACCAGTCACATTCCTGCTAGTAGTGCATAAAGGTTCCTTTTTCTCCACATGCTTGCCAGTACTTCTTTTTTTAATAGCTAACAATTTTCTTGAAATTTTTATTTGAATTTCCCTGCTGAGTACTGGTGTTAAGTATCTTTTTCTGTATCAATAGGCCGTTTTTCGGTCTGACAAATATTTTCCTCTAGGTTGTTTGAGCTCTTCGTCTACTTTAGGTATTAAGAATCAGTTTTTAGGTATGTTCTGCACTCTCAGGTTCCTTTTCATTCTTTTCTTGTTTGCTTCCCTTGCTGTGCAGAGGCTTTCTAGTTCTGGGTAGTAAGTAATCTCATCAGTCAGTTCGCATTACCTCTTTCAATCTATGATATGCTATGTTTTGAAACCATAACCCTGCCACATGGTGCCAAGCCTCAGCTTCATCCCATAACCCCTTGGGTCTTCATCCCTGAGTCCTTGGGTCTCCACCTTCATCAGTGGTCTTCCCTGCCCTCGCACAGTGCCAAGCCAAAGCTGCTCTCATTATCCATTCAGTCCTGTAGCTTGTATGTCACCAAAATCAGTAGTATATGGAAGACACTTACCCATGGCCAAGTTTGGCCATTAGCAGGAGATACAGCCATGGCCTGCTCTGGACCACAGCGTCTATGTGCTGGCCCTGAGGAAACCTTCCTGCAGGATTTCATCTGTGATGCTGGTCTCTTCTTAATCAAAGCTGATTCTTAAGCCCTAGCTAACCAGCATCAATTGTGCCAGTATAGCAACAGTTCCGGTTCCACAGATTCTTAATCCAAAATATCACATGAATGGTCCCAATAGTGTCTTTACTTCCCACTATAATCTCACAAGCCAGACCTCCATCCTCTGTACTTCTCTCTTAAATCCAATCTTCCAAGCTCCTGTAACTGGTTAAGCTCTGAGCACTCAGCAGCCTTCCCAGCTCAAAGATACGAACACTTTCACAGGCCTCCCTAAACACGACTAAGCTTCACTTTATATCCTACTTCGTTTTCTATTGCTGTGATAACAACCAGGACCAAAAGCAACTTGGGAAGGAGAGGGTTTATTTCACCTTACAAGTGGCAGTGCATCATGGGAAGTCAAGGCAGGAACCTGGCTACTCAGTGAATTCTTGCCACCTTAGTGACATGAGGCTCACCAGTCAGAGCCATAGAAAACTATAAAGCTCCCATCATCTCATTTCTCCTGAGTTTCTCCGTTTTACTTCCTTTCCGGAATTTCTTATTGATGGAGTATGCTCGTGTACAGTCTCACTGCTCACCTGTCCTGCGTCTTGGCAATGAGACAGGAATGTGAGCCTGGGGAGATGGCTCAGTTGGCACAGTGCCTGCCACACACACACAAAGACCTCGACTGGTCCTCAGCACCCACATGAAAGTGTGGGGGCAAGAGGTGGTGGAGTGCTCCTGAACTCTGCCCCTGGGTGGGGAGACACAGTGGATCCCCGAAGCGCATTAGCCAGCCAGCCTAGCTGAATAGATGGGCTTCAGGGTCAATGAGACACCGTGCCTCAGAGAGTAAGGGTGGCGTGCAGTGGAGGAGATCATGAATGTCACCCTCAGGCTTCACATACGTGTTCATACCCATCACATCACATCCAAAAGTTAATCCAAGTCAGTAAACAAACATGAATAGAAACTTCATTATTCTTCTGTGAACTTAGTACTTTACATTCAGAGATTGCTTTTAACCAGAATTATTGCAGTCATCAAGTACAAGCAATTAAAGTAGTTTTGTCTCAAATTTTGTTAGTTATGGACTGTCAAACGACAGCATTTAACTTGAAATACATTTCTAAAATAGAGTTCTTTCTTTCTGTTTTGTTAAGAGCCTTTATAGTGAGTCTGTACAGCTTTTCTGGTCATGATAGAGAAGGTACAAGGTGGAGAATGACTGGCCTTACTGACCATGCTCATTACTTCTGGGGTTTACAGCCTGGGGCCTACAGGCTGCATGCAACAGCTACTAATGTAGCCCAACACAAAAGAGCAAACTTAGACCTTTTTCTTTTCTCTTTTGGTGTGTAACTTGATTTTGGGTTCTGGAGTATGAATTGTACAGCTGTGAACATCCTGTGGTAGTGGGAAAAGGTTGACCATGCCTCAAGTTCTATGTAGAAGCTGACTTGCTTTTGTGCGTCACTCACATTAACCCCAGACAGCTCTTTTACGTTGTGGTGTCGTCGCTGGTGGAGTGTGGAGCATAGTGTGATCAAGGGACCAGGGTAGCCATGTTTGTGGGCCTCAGCACAGAAGCCTGTGGTAGTCAGTTGACCTCTGTCCTCTTGCCCTTCAGTGGACTGAGTTTCTTGTGTCACGCTTGATTCTTGTATAAAATCCTAGCACAGCTCTGGCACACAGGAACAACTCAGTAGATATTTACTGGGTTCCCAAATGTTTACCTATTTTTTATACTCATGTTTTTAATTGCTGGGTAAATTTTCTCCAGAGTTCCCAGTCCCAATATACAACAAGGTTTGAATATCCCTTATCCAAAGTGTCTGAGGTTTTTGGATTTGTTCTGTATTTGAGGTATTCGCAGTAGGCTGGACTAACTGAACATCTCTAGTCTAAAGTCCAAAATGTCTCCAAATCTGGAACATTTCGAATAGCAACATGATGCTCCGAACTCCACAAATTTTAGAGTATTGCAGATCTTGAATTATGGCTTCTCAATCAGGTTTGAAAGAAAAGAATAGAAATTTGATTCTCCTTGTTATGAATAGTTGATTAGAAGAAGAATTTTTTTCCTAATTTACTAGAAAAGACATTTTGTGCTTAGGTTTTAATGAAAATAATGTATTTTGGAAAATTGAGAAAACTTTAAAAATTACTCAGGTTCATTTTGTGGGAGTTCAATTAATATTTATTGTAATCATTATCCTAAGTGCTCAATATGTACTAGACATACTCTAAGAGCTTTCTATGTGTTAATTTTTATAATTTTCTCATAATTGACTGAAGGGTATAATAGCTGTTGTCCCTATTAACTGAGGCACAAACAAATCACAGTCAATATTAAGAAGCTAGAATTCTGGACCAGTGAGAGGCTCAGCATGTGAAGGGTGCTTACTGTCAGCCTGATGACCTGAATTTGGTTCTCAGAACCATCTGATGAGAGAAGAGAACAACTCCCTCACCTTGTCTCATCATTGCCACGTGTATGAGTGTGTGCACACACATAAATGTGTAAGTGCATGCACACACATAGACACAGAAATGAATCGGTCCGTGTGTGAGTGCATGCACACACATAGACACAGGAATGAATAGGTCCACATGTGTGAGTGCATGCACACACATAGACACAGGAATGAATAGGTCCACATGTGTGAGTGCTTGCACACACATAAACACAGGTATGAATAAGTCCACATGTGAGCATGCATGCACGCACATACATACATGTGTAAGTACATGCACACACATAAACACAGGAATGAGTAAGTAAAACAGCTAGGCTTTGAATGGTGGTTCGTACAGTGGGATGTGTAAGGAAATGGGCCTCCATTTCACTTAGCTCACGACCCTTGTCCGTCTCACTGAGCTTTGTATTTACTGAAATGTAACACTGTGAGGGAGCTGCGTCGTCGTCATTTTTTAAGGTTCTTAAGCCAGTGGTGCAGAAATTGGGAGCTTCTTATAGCAGTGGGTGGTCTGGGCTTCTCTCTAAGGCATCACGTCTGCTTGAATCGCCCAGTGGCTCCTCTGCAGTTCCCATGGTGACATTCCCACGCGCCTAAAAGAGGCTTGTGTCTTTCTCATCTTTATCCACAACTCACCACAGTGCAGCACCCCTACTCAAGGAGCTGAGGAAACAGTTAAGTTATAGACTCAGGAGTCAAAAGAAACAAGTTTAGAGAGCAACTAGCCAGCCAGCTTCTGCCACAGATGCCCTGCAACCAAGAGGACTTTTAACTTAGTTGGAGTTAGTTTTTATAACCATGTCACCAGACTATCCCTTTCAAAATACTGATGTCAAAAATGGCTTTTCTAGAAGTATTTCATACATGCAGACCCTTGGTGATTTGCTAGGGGCTGGATTTTTATAGTGGCTGTGCGTTTGACTGTCAGTAGGATTTCCGTGGCAGCTGCATCTTTCAGAAGAGTGCCACGGAACCAGGGAAGCTGTGGTGCCACCTCTTGCTTTTGTGTCTTTGTCGCATTGCTGCCCTGCGCTCTTCCAGTGTGCTTCACTCCTGCAGTGCTCAGGTGTGCTGTCAGCCGTCACACTTCACATTCACGAAGCTTGGCTGGTCTCCTGATGGTTCTTTTAAACAAATGCTGCCCATCTTTTCCCACTTACGTGGCTTTTGTCTCATTGCAAAACTGATTAGTCATCTCTGATGCATTTAAGTATAGAAATTATAGTACCTTTTATCTTCTCATCTTAAAGAGAATTTTAGTTCTTCAAAATTTTATTAAGAGAGTAAACACCGTCCCAACAGTAACCTATTGAACATGTCACTGATGTAAGATTTTGAAATCCTTTTCTTATTATGCTTGGCAGCCCATGTGAGTATGTCACATACGTTGTCCACTTTCTGCCTCACCCTTTCCCACAACTACGTTAGCAGTGAACCAAGGCCTTCACAGTTAGTGTTCGCCTGGTGCCGCCAATCTTCTGCAGCTCGCTCACCAGTAGGCCTGTGGCACACAGCCTTTCTCTCCGTGGAGACTCCAGGGCACAGCTGTGGTAATGACCTCGCTTTTGCCCCTGTGAACAAGGGGAAATGCTTCAGGCGGTTCCCATGATAAAAGGCAGGATTTTAGTAAAGTGACTCTGTCTTCTGTGGTACAGGTAGTGTCTGTCTGTCCTCTGTGGATAAAGTCACAGGTAGTGTCTGTCTGTCTTCTGTGGAGAAAGTCACAGGTAGTGTCTGTCTGTCTTTTTTTTTTTTTTTTTTTTTTTTTTTTGGTTTTTCGAGACAGGGTTTCTCTGTGTAGCTTTGCGCCTTTTCCTGGAACTCACTTGGTAGCCCAGGCTGGCCTCGAACTCACAGAGATCCGCCTGGCTCTGCCTCCCAAGTGCTGGGATTAAAGGCGTGCGCCACCACCGCCCAGCATGTGTCTGTCTGTCTTATGTGGAGAAAGTCACAGGTAGTGTCTGTCTGTCTTCTCACAGGTAGTGTCTGTCTGTCTTCCGTGGAGAAAGTCACAGGTAGTGTCTGTCTGTCTTCTCACAGGTAGTGTCTGTCTGTCCTCTGTGGAGAAAGTGACACAGGTAGTGTCTGTCTGTCTTCTGTGGAGAAAGTCACAGGTAGTGTCTGTCTGTCTTCTCACAGGTAGTGTCTGTCTGTCTGTCCTCTGTGGAGAAAGTGGCGCAGTCATGCAGATTCACTGAGAGCCGCTGTCTGCAGTCTGCTTACCTTGCTGTCAGCCCTGGCTTTCATTCATGGGCCTCTTCAAACTTTATTAGTGTAATCTTGGTAGGTCTTCATAATATTTGAATTTCTTGTGATTTTTATTTATAGTACAATAATTTCCAGAATATTCTATACCCTAGTTACATTTCAAAATTGCCCTCTCTAAATTCACCTCTGCTTAATTACTTGACTAAGTTTAAAAAATAATTTTGTAGGTGTAATATGACTGTCTACTCACACCTCCATCATGCACTTGAACAAACTGGACTCTGAATTGCAAACATTTGGATCAGGAATTGAAGACATGTTTTAAAATAACTTAACTTAATTCTCTACAGATGGTCCATCCTTCAAAGAAACGGCAGGACCCAGCAGACAGATTTTACAAGGTATGACAAGCAATTGTGTGTTTCTTGATTTCATGAAACTGGCTTCATTGTTTTCAGTTGTCCAGAGTTCTCTTTTAAAAAATTAGTGCATGGCAGGCATATTTTAAATGTTTTCCCTCCTTGGAAATGTACACAAACACACACTATGTTGAGTATATTAGCCATATTTTGTCACTTGGCTGTTTTCTTAGATTTAATTAAAAACCCCAACCTAGAAATTGGAAAACCCTACTAAAGGTAAGTGCTAGGCCTGGCTACCGTGGCCCTAGGTATTCTTAGGATTGACAGTTTCTCCAAAATAATGTTCAGTATGTTCTTAAGTTATAGGGAAATTGAGAGCTAAAAATGAAATCCAATGAGACCTTTGTCATATGTGAAGGCATCAATTAATGATAGCTAAACAGGAGCTTAATGTCATATCAACAGTATAAACAGCACCAGCTAGAGAAAACTAATCTGTCCGTGAACTCCGTTCCTTTCCTTTGGGGTGTGAACCAGTCTTTCTCAGTTTCCCGTGGACTATACTGTCCAGATTCCCAGCTCCTGCTTCTTGATTTTTTTTTTTTCCAGTTAACTCTACTTCAGTCTGGGTTTCTTGGTGGCTTTAGATCTAGCCTCTCCTGCTTGTGTTTTTCTCAACAGTTTCTTGGTCTAATTCTTACTTTGTGTGTTTCTCCATAGGGAAGAGTTTATTTTTAAAGGGCTTGGTTACCCTCTAGTCACCAATTTTTCTTTTACAAAATATAAGGAATTGCTTTAAAAACAGTCTTTGCACATTTTTGATGCAACTGTGTCAAGTGCTGTCATCAGCTTTGATAATAATTTATATTTAGTTATGAAAAATCATGATTGGGAGGGAATAAACTTAATATAGCCTTTTATCATCTTTGTATAAACTGTGATGAAAATGGGTTTATATTTCTGAACCGCCTGCATTTTGGGGTCTTCAGAAGGTCAGGCGGAAGCTGAAGGGCAGCTGTTACCTCCTGGTGTGGAAGCTTTCCTAGCCAGCGGCTCTGCAGACACTCATCCTGAGCACTCACTCTGAGCTAAGGCAGGTCTCAACTGCTTGCTCGGCCTCTGTTCGGCTTCTAGTGCACCAGGTTTTAGAGGTGTGTGTGAGAGCATTGGTGTGTTACAAGTCTTACATAGCTTCAATTTTATGAGTTAAACATACTTTATATATTTCTTTAGTGATTTTGTAGTTACTATAAAATAGAGTAGTTAATGATGTGTGCTAACAAAACCTACTTTCTGGCTAGGAAATTGCATGTAGGCAGGGACTTTCCAACCTCAGGAGAAGCAAGAGCAAATTATTTCCCCCCTTTTTTCATTGTTCAGAGCTATTTTTATTTCTGTTCCTACCAAAACACTGAAGAATTTAAAAGTTTAAAACTGTGTTATCATGTTTAAGAGTTTGTAATGTAGGGACTTTCAAGTGTATTGATTTATATCCATCTTTTTCATTTTTATTTTTTAAAGCCAAAAAATGGTTTTGATAGGAATATATTTTGTTCTTTGGTATTTAAAGTACCGTAGGGAAGCTTGTTATGTGTAAAATTTTGCCGATGAATTATTTGTTAGAGAACAACTCTGGAGCTGGTGAGGTGACTGTGGTGTAAGGGCACTTGCCGCCAAGTCTGACCACCCAAGTTCAAACTTCGGGGCCTCGTGGTGGAAGGGAGATTGACTCCTGTTGTTCGAATCTTAGATGGTCTTTTAATAAAAAACCCAGAGCCAGATATCAGGGCGAAAGCTGAAAGATGAGAGAATCAGGACAGCCATCCACTAGCTTACCTCTACAAAATCCTCAGCCTCAAGAGAGCAAGTTCCTGTTTCCTCACGCCTTATACCTTTCTGTGCCTTGCCATACTACTTCCTGGGATTAAAGGCGTGTGTGCTTCCCAAGCAAAGGCCTGAGATCTCAAGTGCTGGGATTAAAGGTGTATGCCACCACTGCCTGACCTCTATGTCTAATTTAGTGGCTGGCTCTGTTCTCTGATCCTCAGGCAAGTTTATTAGGGTATGCAATATATCACCACAGACCACCACAAGTTGTCCTGTGCCTTCCACACATGTGCTGTGGTATATGCATACATGTACACACACATCCGCACATAGATGTAAAATTTTCTGCAGAGTAGTCTGCACAGATGAAAAGGAATGGGGGTGTGATGGAGTGCCATTTGCTGTGGCCTGCTGTCCACTACACGGTGGCAGTGAACTGTCTTTCCCCAGCAAACACTAAGATTTAATGGAGCGGGGTGGTGGTGGCGGCGGCGGCGGCGGCGGCGGCGGCGGCGGCGGCGGCGGCGGCGGCGGCGGCGGCGGCGCACGCCTTTAATCCCAGCACTTGGGAGGCAGAGCCAGGTGGATCTCTATGAGTTCGAGGCCAGCCTGGGCTACAGAGTGAGATCCAGGACAGGCACCAAAAGCTACACAGAGAAACCCTGTCTCGAAAAACAAAACAAAACAAAACAAAAAAAAAAAAAAAGAAAAGATTTAATGGGACTCATTAGTGGTCACAGTTTAAACTGCTGCACAATTTCCTCTAGTTTAAATCTGCGCATATTTGCCATTTATTGTTCAGGGAATCCGACATGAATTTCTTGGCTGCTCACAGTTGATGGTCAGGACTAATGGTTTTTTTTTTTTTTTTTTGAGTGAAGCACACTTAAGTTTAACAGCTGTTTTGCTGTGTGGTGAATTTTGCTCATTAAAGATCTACAGGTTGAGCCAGGCTGTGGGTGGTGCACTGTATGCCTTTAATCCCAGCACTCAGGAGGGAGAGACAGGTGGATCTCAAGGCCAGCCTGGTCTACAGAGCGAGTTCCAGGACAGCCTCCAAACTACACAGAGAAACCCTATCTTGAAAAACAAACAAAAACAAACAAACAAAAAATCTACATATTGAGTGGATTATTGTCTTTGGTATTTTCTGGAAGAATTGTATATGCAGCTTCTTTCTTAAGATTTTTATGAGGCCGGGCGGTGGTGGCGCACGCCTTTAATCCCAGCACTCGGGAGGCAGAGGCAGGCGGATCTCTGTGAGTTCAAGGCCAGCCTGGTCTCCAAAGCGAGTACCAGGAAAGGCGCAAAGCTACACAGAGAAACCCTGTCTCGAAAAACCAAAAAAAAAAAAAAAAAAAAGATTTTTATGGTTTTCCAGGCAAATGCCACTTATCTTAATAGTGTATTTTAGTTCTTTTTTTTTTTTTTTTTTTTTTTTTTTTTTTTTGGTTTTTCGAGACAGGGTTTCTCTGTGTAGCTTTGCGCCTTTCCTGGAACTCACTTGGTAGCCCAGGCTGGCCTCGAACTCACAGAGATCCGCCTGGCTCTGCCTCCCGAGTGCTGGGATTAAAGGCGTATTTTAGTTCTTAAGCAGCTAACTAGTGACTTACTTAGTACCTAATATTAAAGGTTCAACGTATATTTTCTAGCCATTTAAAAGTATTCAGATACTTGTTTTTTTAACAGATTTCAGTGGTGAAACCGTTTGGATAATTAACATCAGGTTAAGTTGAGTTAGGGTCCATATGAAATGCTGGTCCTAAGGCAATAATTTTAATCACCAGCAGAGGGCTCTGTGTGTACATGTTTTCAAAATGAAAATGCTTTCATAACCAGTTTTTTTCACCTGATGCCCTTTCCTTCTCCGAACAAATTATTTAACCTTTGTCCTTTTTAAAGTAAAGGTGGATTTCATAAATAGCATTTAAAATAAATTCTACTTTCTCATTTGTATTGTTCTATTAAGATCGAGTATAACCTACCGGTCAGATGTTTAAACTGGTGGTTGGGAAAACAGTGTTTCAGTTCATAGATATTCTGCTGTGCAGTTCCTAAGCAGTCAGTCTCCTCCTAACTGATTCTTCATTGGGTAGGTAATGGTATTTATGACATCTTGGGTCCAGCCCTAAGAACTATTCCTATTTTAGAGTTTGATGTTGATGATGCTTTCTTTCCAGGTGTATTTTTACATATCCTCGCGGACACACTTGGGAGTGTTGGTGTGATTGCCTCTGCCATCATGATGCAGAACTTTGGGTTGATGATAGCAGATCCCATCTGTTCGATTCTCATAGCCATTCTTATCGTTGTCAGGTAAGTGGCACACTGGGTTATTATCTGTTGTTCAAATGAGAGGGAGGCCGCTCAAAACCACGTGATTAGAGATCTACAGTGCACATTGTCATGTGGGCTTCCCTGTGGGCTTCAAGGAAATTCTTGTCCAGATTCTCTTTTCATCTTCACATTTTCATGCCTTTTCTATTTATATCTTGCCTGGAGTTTAAACATTTCTTTGTGGTTTTGACATTTAAGCCTTTGATCATAATTCACATCTTCAGTCATACACTGTATCTATAGAATAAAATATTGGCAGTGTAAACTGCATTAACTAGACTATTATAGTTTATATCAAGACGTGGCAGTGTTAGACTCTAGTATCGATGCTGCCTCTGCTAGATCTATCTTGAATTGTACAGTTTTGTTTTCCTTTTTCTTTTCCTCACCTACCCTTGAGCTAGTGCCCCATAAAGACATTGCATGTCCATCCTCGGTGGCTGTTTGCCGCAGTGCATTGTGTAGCTAATATTATCATCGTCTTAGACCCTTTGTCCTAAAACATACTTCACTGGTGGCTTCATTTTTATTATTTTAAAAAAATGGAAATATGTTCTTTAATCTTGCAGCCTTTAATTATTTTAAAATTTTATGGTATGTCTCAGTTGGAGTGTTATCGTTTCTCCATCTCTCTCCCTCTCTATTCAGTAGAAGCTTTTGTGACGAAAATGAAGACTGATGAGAAGTGAGGCTGGAATGACTGTTTATAGCTCACAGTTGACTAGGGTCGATGTAGGAGATTGCAGTGCTAAAGTTGGAGGTGCTTGTTTTCCCTTTCTGCCCTAAAAATAGAACATACATTTTAAACATGCAGATTATTCTTTAATGATTTGCACACGGAAGCAGGTGTGTATGGAAGCCTTTCTAAAGCTCAGAATGCCTTTTGCTCATCTTTGGAGGTCTTAGCCAAACTCTCTTGAGTTAGTGTAGACGTGCCAGGCTCCTGACAGGAACGTTAATGTCTGTAACCACCTGTCTTGTTGGGGGCGCCTTGAGTGCGTTTTGCTTTCGCGTGTATTACTGTCTTAGTTGTCCTAGTGGTTTGGAAGAGTGTGGTCTTAGCATTCCTTTTGCTCTGGCTCCACATGTTGTCACCCGAGTTCTGCTGTGGTTTGATGGGAAGCCATGATGGCCTCTCTGTCCCCGCCTTCTCCTTTCCCTGCTGCAGTGACAGTTCTCTGAGGAGAACTGTGTGACATACTGCAGTTATCTTGCTTTCAGTCCTTGGACTGTTTATCTCAGAAGAAAGTTCAAGACCCATAGCAGTTCCCCTGATAGTGTTTATCCTGTCAGCCTCTCCCTCCCTCCCACTGCCTCACCTCAGTTCACTCTCTCTTCCCCAGTGACAGTCTCTTCTCTTCAGTGTCCTAAATACATCGTCAACTCTCTGCCTTCCCATCTGTCTTTTCTCTGTCTAAACTCTTCTTGCATTTGATACGCCCTTTCCTTCAGCCCTAAAGATGTGTGGACCCCAACTCCACATCCTTCCTATGAAGCTTAATCCAAATAGCACCCCACCCACCAGCTGCGAGCTGTGTGAAGTCCTTCCCTGTAGTGACTTCTAGCAACATTTCCTTCCAAGGCATTTATCGTAGTGTCCAGAGTCTGCCTTATGTGTCTGCAGCTCCGGGAGGGCAAACTGATACCCTGTTATTACAAAGTGACCATATGATTCTCCTGGTGAAGAAATTGGCACACCCCAGATTTGAATCAGAAGGACTTAGGCTTTTTCCACTCTAAAGAGTTATATTTTCTCTAATGTCTGCCCAGGCTGGTCTCAGACTCATGGCAGTCCTCCTGTCTCCGCCTTCTGAATGCTGGGATGACAGGTGTGTACTGTCATGCCTTGATTTGTTTTTTTCTTTTAATAAATTTGGTCCCTGGGGGGGAAAAAGAGTGATGTTTTATAGCTGGGCACTGGTGGTGCACACGCCTTTAAACCCAGCGCTCTGGAGGCAGAGGCAGACAGATCTTTGTGAGTCTGAGGCCATCTTGGTGTACAGAGTGAGTTCCAGTACAGCCATGGCTGTTACACAGAGAAACCCATCTCAAAAAAAAAGAGTTATATTTTCTAAATTGGAAATTCTTTCATTGTTATATTCTTATTCATTTATTCTACAAACAATAATAAATAAATGCATATATGCACACACAACAAACTTACCTTGCCACAATGTCTAATACATTTTTTAAAAATCTTTATAAGCCGTCTTCAACAAGTAGCCCTGAGATTCCTGCTCTTTTGATCTTATCTTGCCACAGGGGAGAGAAAATCAAATCAATAGATTGACACTCCAATATGAAATGATTATTTCTTGTGCAGAGCTAAGGGAGGACGACATGGTAGTCACTGAGCTGTCACCTGAGGTTAAATGATAAGGCAAGTCCGCAACTAAATGTCGCCTAGAGCTTTCCAGCCTAGGGACCAGTTGATAAAAAGGCACATGGTTAAAAACAGCTACCCTAAAGGAGGCCACTGTGGCTGAAGCCCAGGGAACAAGAGGAGAGTGGTTTGGGATGGAGCTGAAGAAACATACCAGGGAAAATTACAGGGCTTGGAGGTCGGGTTTCATTTCAAGTGCAGTGGGAAATGATAATAGAGTGACCCTTGGTCCATAGGTTTTGTTTTGTGGTGCTGGGGACAAGCCAAAGCCTATACATGCTAGGCAAGCACCCCATCACTTATCTACATCTTCTTACCATGATTTGTATTTTTTAAAATTTATTTTATGTGCGTGAGTGTTTTACCTGCATGTATGTCTGTGCACCATGTGTGTGCCTGGGGCCCTCCGGGGCCCTGGAACTGTAATGTGAGATAGTTGTGAGCTGCCAGATGGTGCAGGGAACTGAACAACCAACGCTGTTAGCCACAGAACCATCTTTCCAGCCTCCTGATGTGAATTTTTGGAAAATAGTTTTCAGCTGGGCATGATACCCTTAATCCCAGCACTTGGGAGATAGAGGCAGGCAGATCGCTGTGAGTTTGAGGTCAGCCTGGACTACAGAGCGAGTTCCAGGACAGCCAGAGCCACACAATGAGCTCCTGCTGCCAACAAATTAATTCATTGAGTAAAATAAAATAAATAAAGATAGAAAGGAAGGAACTATTTTGAGTGAAGCCGAGGTTGCAAGGGGCACAAGTACAAACAAGTAGGACCATCTAGAAGCTGCCATAATGGACCAGGGAGAGGCCATAGTAGCCAGGTCTAATCTAGCAATGGAGAGATCTGAATAAAGCCAGGAAATGGGGTAGAACTAGTGAGATTTGCTATGGATGTGGAAGTGTGGGTCAGGCTTAAGCGAATGGGAGCCGTGGCAATGCTTAGAGCTCTTACCTGGGATGGACAGAGGTGTTGTCACTGAGAGGAGACTAGAAGAGTGGTGTTTCCCCTCCCTTTGGAGGCACTGTAGATCAGCGGCCATGTTCTGCTCATTGCTGGTTTGAGATGCTGCGTTAGTTACGCATGTGGAGGCTCCCAGCAGGCAGTGGGTGTGTAGATACAGGATTGCTGCCTTCACTCGGCTAACCCAGCGGGGAGTGTAAAATCACACAACAGTGGTCAGGTAGCAGCCGGGCCACCGCACCCACTCCTGTTCCCTGGAGATGCCCAACAGTCCGGGCTCTTCCCTCCTGAAACTGGTGTAGCCTCAGTTCCCTTTCAGTGTAGTGCCTCCAGCAGCCTCAGTCAGCCAGTTACAAGTACAGGTCCTTTTTATTTTTGTTTCTGTCCGACTGTTCAATTTCCAAAAATTTTCCGTTTCCGTATACTTAACATACTGAAAAACAAAGGAAGGCATCCTGATTATAATACAATTAATTACTGAAATGTATGATGTGCCTATTGAAATGTGTCATATCTCACCTCTTTGAGACAGTGGGTAAGTCCAGTATATTTGAAGGTCGTTCAGCAAATGCTGTGGTACCTACTCAGCTGGGCAGTTGACCGCATAGCAAATACCTTACACCCATAGGGGAGCCAGTAAAGCAAATGGGCATACAAATAGATAATAAGACATGCACAGTGCAGGGCAGCAAGGCAGGAGGAGAGACATGAACACACTGCTCCAGAGGCCTTCCGAAGGAAGTATTTTCAACAGGAAATAATAAGAATCGGCCCCCATCAAATGCTCTTGGGATGATGGGTCACTTACACCAGACCCTGGGGAGAGTGGCCAGAATGAAAGCTTAATCAGAGAGCATCAAGAGACTCTGTGTGTGTGTGTGTGTGTGTGTGTGTGTGTGTGTGTGTGTGTGTGTGTGTGTGTGTGTGGCGGGGAGTAGCCATAGTCAGCTGCCTTTTGAAGCCTTTCACTGTAAAGGGGAAAAGTGTGATTGCCTGGCAGCACCCAAGACCCACTTTGAGGTTTGTGGTCATGAATTTAGTATAAAAACAACCAGTATGGGTGTATGTTATCTCTAGTCTTGTTCTGCTACTTAGTAAAAGTCATAGAGTGATACAAAGAATTGGGTTTAATAGGTGTGCAGTTTTGCCAGATGAGTGCTACTGTGATAGGGGCAAGGTAGGAATTAAAATAAAGGGAAATGAACTGACTGTGTCAGCTATACTCTGGAGCAAACTTCCCTTGCTCAAGAGTCATTACCCAGTCCAAATCATACTTGTGTGTGTGTGTGTGTGTGTGTGTGTGTGTGTGTGTGTGTGTGCGCACGCGCATTTAGATGCAGGCAGAGCACTAATACAAATAAAATAAAAGTAGTGTGACATGCTTAAAGTCAAGATCTAAGGCCTAAGTTATAGTCAGCAAGGTGGAGGAAAAGAGCATCGTAAATAGAGACCAAAGGAGGGCTTGTCCATGTGGATACTTAGACCGAGAGTAATGCAAGACAGGAGTAGAGGTGACAGGTAAAAAGCCAGTTGCTCAGCTCTTGAGTGACTGAAGGAATGACCAAGAATTGTGCCCTGGGATTCAGATGGTTAGGCGAGCAAATGACTTGATGGGCCTGGCCTTTACGGGAGGTG